AGCCAGACTTTGGGACATGTCAAACAGAAACAAAAGGGGGCAGGAGGCAGGGGCACCTGGTGATATCAAGCAAGCCTCAAGTGTGAAGCCTGGTTTCTCAGACTAACTCTCCATGGAGGAGCGCCAGAGCCCTGTGAAGAAGTGGAGCTTCAGATCCGGGTGGGGTAGAATAAGCTGAGCCTGAAGTCTGTTACACAGAGCAGAAGCCAGGCTGGGAGGCCAAAAGATTTCAGGGACAGCAAAAGAGCCTTCCCTCCACTACCAAAGTCTCACACAGTGTTGAGCCTCCAAAAATAAAGATAAATAAATACACATTGTGATGGATTATAACATATCGAATTAATAAAAACAAAGCAAAAAAATCCACTAAGCCCATGGTGATATTCATTAGAAATGTGAGAAGAAGCAAAAGAAAGAAAACATTTAGGATGGGAAGAAGAAATGCTCTTTTTTTTTAACTGTAAAATGTGGAGATGATGATGGAATTGAAAGGCACTCTCTGGCAATCACAAATCGACTCTATGTACATTTAACTCAGTAGGACAATATGTGGAGCAAGTCCCCGAAATACCTCACAGCTCTACCCAGGACCAGAGACTGACTCTGAAGCAAAACGCTATGGAATCCTGACACTGGTGTGCTTTTCCTTTTTTCCCAAAGCTAAAATTCGCCACTTGCACATCCAGTGTGAGTCAGATACGGTTCCACTAGGAACTAACTTTTCCCATGATTGGTTGTGTGGCTACAGACACACTACTCACTAAAAGAAGCCTCAAGAGAAAGAATCAAATGTCAACCTGTGACTTAACATTACAACATATATTACAGAAGAAGGTTGACATTCCTAATATAAATGCTGTGGTCAGATACTGGAAATGGGGGAAAGACCCTGGCTAGCCTGTGCCAGTAGATATGATTTTCTGACTGCCATCAAAGCCCCGGTTGCCTGAGGAAAGCCAAGCCTCTTTGATCTTGAAGAGACAGATCAGAAGACCAAAGTCCAGAACAACTTTGGCCCAACACTAGATAGAGCTTTACAGAGGCAGGAAAGGGGCGAGCCCTTCCTGTCACCATAAAAGGTTAGGCTGATACCCTCATGCCAAAGGACAGGTTAAGCAGGGAAGAGCATAGCCCATTTATTTGGTCACAGTTTTATATGATGGAGGTGTCTTCAGGCTGAGGACCTGAAGACTCGGGCAGAACTGTCCATTTTAAATAAGAAGCAAGGACAGCCTTATAGAACTCTGGCTAAAAAGGGTCTGGCTCAGTGCTACCAGACTGAACCGGAAACCCAGCAAGTCCCTTTGGCAAGTCCTCTTGCAAGTCCTCTTGGCCTTTGTGCAACACTCCTTCTCTGAGAATGGAGCAAGGTCCCCCCTGTACCAGGTGTCTGGTGGCCTTCCATCAGATGCGGTAGGCTGGAGAGTTACTTTATAGCTAGTGGCCTTCCATCAGATGCAGTAGGTGGGGAGTTACTTTATAGCTAGCTCTAAGACAGAACGTGGGGAAAGCTGAGAGGTCTGGTTTTATCATTGACCGTGGGAAAGAGGCTCTGCTTCCTGTGACTCATCTCGAGAAGGAGAAATTCCAGTTCTGTGGCTAGCCTTAGGCAGAGGGAGTGGAGCGGGAGGCAGGACTGGAGATTCAAGAAAGACTTTGCTTTGGTGACCTTTAAGATGTCAGCCTCTGCAGGCTGCACCTATTTCCTTGGGGCCCTTTCTCCAGTGACCTCCTGATGTCTTGGCAGCATGTTCCCTTTCGCTCTTAAGTGTCTCTGTTTTACAATGCTTTTTAGGGAACTCTTCATTTGGCCAGTGTTGGGGGGTTAACAAGATAAGGGAGTAAGACTGTGGAATGTGGTAGGCAAAACAGTGCCTGCCCCTAACCATGCCCACGCTGCAGCCCCTAGAATTATGAACGTTACTTTATAGAGAGAATGGAAATACTGACTGAATTCTGAATGCTAATGGAGGGGTTGAAGTGTCTGTTTCAGGTGACCCATCTGTTTACACAGATCTTTAAAATTATATAATCGGGACTAGTGGGACAGCTATGTAGGTACGGACACTTGCTGCCCAGGACTGGCAGCCGGTATTCCATTCCCAGAACCTTTGTGAAGGTCTTGGGAGAGAACTGATTCCAGAATGTTGTCCTCTGACCCCCAAATGGGTGACAGGTGCACCCCTCCCATGCACATGCATATTTCTTGAGTTATGAGTCAGAAGGGGATCTAACCATTAAACAACACTCAGTGAGACGCAATGTGCCAACTTGGAAAGTGAAATTTAAGTAGCTTCCAGTAGCTAGCCAAATGGAGTAGAGCAGACCTCTCATTTAGGACCTCCATGAATGAATGCTACTCTGCAAACACCTATACTGCAAGATACTTCCCGGTGTTTGGTTTTTGCTTTTTTTTTTTTTTTTTTTTTTTTTGGTCTTTTGAGACAGAATTTTTCTGGGTAGTCCTGCCTGTCCTGGAACTCACTCTGCAGACCAGGCTGGCCTCAAACTCATAGAGATCCACCTGTCTCTGCCTCCCGAGTGCTGGGATTAAAGGTGTGCGCCACCACCACCAGGCAAGACACTACTTGTGAGCTGGTTGAATCCATTAACTCTGTAATAGTTATGTAGTTATGTAGAAATTGCACTTTCACTAATTAAGTCTGACAAGCTAGCACTCATTGGATGATGAAGTCCTCACATAAACCCAGGAGTAAGACTGTACCTGGACCATGTAATTAAGATTTTGTAAGCTCGATGCGTTAGTAGCAGGTGGCATGAGAGGTGTTTGACAAGCACAAGGATGTAAGGGGTGTGCAGAAGGCATCCCAGGTTAGATGTGTGGAAAGGGAGGAGTGTAGGAGGAAACAGCACTCTGCCATCAGCCATGTGACTTATTAGAGGCGCATACAGATGAGGTAATAAAAGGGCGGTTTACTGCACCTCTTTAGGCATGACTACGGAAGTTGGCGGTGAACTATGTCACTAGACAGGCCCACTTTTGGGCATGGCTAGGGGCCTGTACGGAGGAAGGTATAAAAGACTGAGCAGCAGAAGTCTCACTCTCTTTTTCTGGCTTCCAGTTCAGCGGCAGAAAACTACTCGGCTCATCTGGGTTGCTTGTTTGTCTCTTGTGAGTAATTTCTACAATAAATACTTACTTATACTCTCAGTAAGTGTGCCGTTTATCGTTGCAGCATCAGAAGAGTTTGGAAAGGACTTGAAAGTGCATTATTTCCACCTGTCTCTCCTAGAGTTTCTATTGCTGAGCTAAAACACCACAACTGAAAACAACCTGGGGAGGAAACATTTGTTTTCCCTTGTACTTCTGGGGACAGTTCATTAAAGAAGGAAGGCATGGGAGGAAGTCAAACAGGGTTGGAACCTGGAGGCAGAAACTCATGCAGAGGCCACAGAAGGACATTGCTTACTGGCTTGCTCAGCCTGCTTTCTTATAGCACCCAGGACGAGCTGCCCAGGGGTGCACCTCTGCTGCTGAACGGGAGGACGAGCTGCCCAGGGGTGCACCTCCCATGCTGAACAGGGCCCTTCCACATTAATCACCCATCAAGAAAATGCTCCACAGGCTTGCTCACAGGCCGATGTTGTGGGAGCGTTTTCTCAAATGATGCCCTGCTTCAAAAATGACTCTAACATCAAGTTGGCATGAAAACTAGTCAGAAGGAGAAGGAGAAGAAGAAGAAGAAGAAGAAGAAGAAGAAGAAGAAGAAGAAGAAGGAGAAGGAGAAGGAGGAGGAGGAGGAGGAGGAGGAGGAGGAGGAGGAGGAGGAGGAGAAGGAGAAGGAGAAGGAGAAGGAGAAGGAGAAGGAGGAGAAGGAGAAGGAGAAGGAGAAGGAGGAGAAGGAGAAGGAGAAGGAGAAGGAGAAGGAGAAGGAGAAGGAGAAGGAGAAGGAGAAGGAGAAGGAGAAGGAGAAGGAGAAGGAGAAGGAGAAGAAACCTAGCCAGCACATACAGTAAATAGCAATAGGGGTTCTTGGCTGGAACAGAAAGAGGAGGGCCAATCCTGAAATGTAGGCCTTAGCAATAAGGTAAATGACCTAAGCTAGAACTTCAGAGTCCAAATATTGGGGTTAAAGAGATGGCTCAGTGGTTAAGAGCACTTGCTGCTTTCCCAGAGGACCCGAGTTTGGTTCCCAGAACTTACTGCTGAGTGGCTCACAACAGCCTGCCTGTAAGTCCAGCAGCTTTGGCTCATCCTGATGCCTTCTTTGTAGGTGTCAGAAGAGACTATAGTGTTCTGTGATAGCACTAGTTGTGTATGTACACAACAGTCCCTGTGTGCGCACAACAAAGTGTAGGTCTTCCGGAAGCACACGACCCTCCTAGTACACGGTGGCTCCTCTCTAATTATTCGGTGACCCTGTAAGGTCAGCCCAGGGTTCCCTGAGTGCTAGTCTCACACAGGTGCAAAGGACCCTTTAAGAGACAGACCCCGCCCTCCCTCCCTCTCTCTCTCTCTCTCTCTCTCTCTCTCTCTCTCTCTCTCTCTCTCTCTCTCTCTCTCTCTCTCTCTCTCTCTCCTTTCCTCTCTTTCCAGCTCTTCTCTCTCTCTCTGCTCTTCTCTCTTTCTGCTCCTGTCTCCCCTCTGTGTCTCTTTGCCTCTTTTTTCTTTCCCTCCCCTTTCTAATAAAACCTCTCACTCAAGCTCTGTCTGCCTGGTGTGTTTGTTCCCCGCCTCGGTCACCCTCCCCGGCTATGGAATCCGCCATGGTCCCCCAGGCAGGGGCCCCCTCCAGCTTTATCCTAGCATTTGAAGCAAAAGACCAACGGACCCTGATGGCTTACACTGCCACCATTTCAGAAGTCACCTTTGCTGGGTGGGAGAGGGACTCAGTCCCCAAAGTGACAGCTAAATACTGTTTGAGGTGACAGCTGGCGGAGTGGGCCACACCCAGGCACTCCTCAGCTGCTGCCAGCCAGTGTATTTCCACCACATACCGAAAGGGGTAAAACTGGAAATGCTTTGTTAGCTACATGACTTGGGAGTGCTCACGGATGTTTATTAACCCCTGAATAAATTTTAAGGAGAAACAGGTCACTTGATGATGCTGGATTAGGAGACCAGATGCCAGGCCAGGAACATAAGGCTGACTTTAGATGCGAAGGTGTGGATGAGCAGCTGGATTCCAGTCTTCAAGTCTGCATGAGTTAAAAGGGAGATTCTGATTACAAAAACAAAACAACAAACAAACAAAAAACCCAGCCTCGAGGATGATCTTGAACCCCTGATCCTGCAGCCACAGCCTCCTGAGCGCTGAGACTCCGGGCATGAACCACCGTGCTCAGCTGCTCTCGCACTTTGCGTGGTAAGAGCTACTGTCTGGGCTGCAGACTTGGGCTCGGTATACTGTCTCCGGAGTGCCAGCTAGAAACCAGATTCCGTCCCTGCTCTGCAGTTCTGCCGGAGACAGAGAAAAGTTAGGGATGTGCAGATGTTCACGTACATTACTTGACTAACTTTTCAAATTACCGCATGAGTGAGACGATTACGTTCCTGTTATAGAAAAAAGTACGTGTGTGGGCGCGCGCACAGCAGGCACTAGTGGAGATCACCCGGTGCCCACATTCACCCACAGCTGCCCAGGTCACGCCCATCGGGCCTTTGCTGTGTGCTAGCGTTGGCCGGTGGGCGTTCCCACCTCCTGCTGCAAGGTCCTGGAAGCTGCTTCGTTAGAGGTGCTGAGTGCCTTTGATCACGTCTACTGCACACAAGAGTCACCCACCTGTCACCGGCCTTAGCTAAGGGGTCCTGCTGACTCTGAAGAATCTTCCTACTTAGAAATGTGTATACATGCCCGCATAAATCCCCAGAAGTATTAGGACGAGAACTGGCACTCGGGGATCGACAAGCTCTTTGGACTCAGCTTCAAGCCGGATTGGCCTAACCTCCAGTCTCACTAATACCCCACCTTGGTGTGATCATGAAATCACCTGTGGGTGACACCTCTGCTTCCCAGCCTCACTGGCCTCCTCTGGCTCTCAGCCCATCCTAGGCAGTGTCCAGAGTCATCTTAAAAAAAATAAATAAATAAAGGTAAGGTGCTCATGAGACGGGGCTGCAGGTAAATGCACTTGCCAGCCTGACAGCTTGAGTTAGGTCCCTGGGCCCCACACGGAGGAAGAGCAGAATGGACCCCACCGTGGGTTGTTCTTTGACCTCCAGAAGCATGCTGCACGCCCCCCCACCCCCCCACACACATAGGCTTAACAAAACATAAAGAAAAGAACACAAACAGATTAGATCTTGTTCTTTAACTTTTCCAGTGTTTTGTTTGGGGACTCACCTACGCCTCGTTTTCCTGCCTTCCCCACTGTGTACCAGTGGGGAGGTCCCGGAGTGCTCCTGAGTTCTTCACTGTGACATCTTATTCATTTGTTCTCTGTCATCAGGGGACACTATTACCTTTCCAAAACCTGGCCATTTTGTGAGATGTGTTTTGCTGTGGTGATCCTCGCAAAAGTGGGTAAACTGGTGTTTTTATTATCACTGTTGTGACTATGTCTTAACAACATAACATTTTAAATATTCTCCTGGAACAAAAGCTGTTATTGAAGGCAGTAGCTGGTTGACAGACACCCTGACACCTCTATGCCGCTGTGTGAGTAGGTAGGTGGCACCCAGGACTTTACATGGGGAGCTGAGATAATACATCTTCTGGAACTCAAATACCAATGCTTCTGACTGAAACATCTCTCTCTGGGTCCACCCACTTCACACATTAGCTCTGAAACCAAGGACACCTGAGTGTGTGACTGAGCAGTCCCTTCCTTCCTGCCTGCCTGCCTGACATTCCAAAGGAGTTTGTCATCTTGAAAGGACTGGTCTTCTAGGCACGTGGACAGTGAGAGTTTCTTTGGTAGTACCCTGTGCAGTCCTGATTTATTTTTCTAATTTTGCCTATGTGAGTACACATGCCCTTGCTTATGCTTGTGTATCCTGCGTTTGTGTGCATTGCTATAAAGTGGTCAATTATTTGTTTCGCTTGCTTTGTCATGTCATTTGACTAGACATGTCCTTCTTGGAGGGAGTTATAGTCTTTGGACTTAAAATTGTTTGCTACCCTTCTTCAGCTAGCAAGACACAACTCAACCTAGGGTTAAAGAGTTGGCTCATTAGCTAGGAGAGCTTACTGCTCTTCCACAGGACGGGATCTTAATTCCCAGCTCACAAATGTCTTTAACTCCAGCTGGGGTGATCTGACTCCATCTTCTGGGCTCTTCAGAAATCTAAATTCACATGTGTGTATAGAGCATATACCCCACCCTATACACACAATTAAAACGGAAAAGAAACAAAATTGTAAAGTTCTCCTTGGCTATAATCACTTTGATACAAAACGTATTTATTGTCCATCTCTTCACCTCCAAGTAAAGTTACATGAACTCAGGGAGAAAGGCCCTGATCTATGCTACTTACAACTGTGTTTTTTAGCCGACAGAATATTTAACAAGTTCAGCATGTTATTCATATCTTATTTGGAGCTTTAGTTAAATGACCAGTCAGGTCTAAATATTAAAAGTAACTGCTTCATGAGGTGAGTTCATAGACCACATTTGGCTATGTGAAAACTTTTTTTCCCCCTTGTGATGTTGCAGATTGAACACAGAACCTTGCATAAGGAAGGCAAACACCTTACCAATGAGTTACAACCCAGCTCCATGTGAGAAGTATTTAAGAATAAAGAAAAAATGTAATGTAAACTTGATTTTCAAAGGCTACTAGCAGAGATTTTCTTTTCAAAGATTGCTAGAAAGTTTTTGTTTTTATTTGGATAGAGCAAAACTAGAATAAGTTTTTGGGTGTCAATTCAGTCTTGAGTTTCTAAGGATGACACTTGAAAGTCCCTTATTCAGCAGACACGCGCCTCGCTCTGGGAAGGCTTTGATTTTAAAAGCTGAAGGTTCTCAGCAGGAGCTGGCAGGGGTGATGTCTGTTGCTTGAGCTTTCTCTCCTGACTGCCTGGTTCCACAATTGCTTCAGCTCCAAATGAACACATATTTTATAGCTATATTAGTTATGAAAGTTTTGGCCAATGACTAGGGTTTCTTATTGGCTAGCTCTGTCTTAATTATTAACCAATTTCTATTAATCTAAATACTTCCACCTGGTCTTACCTTACTGGAGAAGAGTCCAGACCTCTAACTCCTTTGGTGGCTCACATGGCGACGCTTCTGATGAGCCCTCTCTGCCAACTTTTCCCAGAATTCTCCTGGTCTTAGTCCTGCCTATCTTCCTGCCTCATTGGCCACAATGTTTTATTCACAACCAATAAGTGAAACATATATACAGAAGGACATCCCCATCAGACGTCTGGGTTCAGTCTTCCAAAGAAGAAGGAAGTAAAGGTAGGTGAAAGGAGACACTGGCTGCAAATTTAGGTCATGTTCTGGGGACAACTGTCACTGGGATGGGCTGGCAGGGTGGAAGCAGACAAATCACCGAGGGCCAGAGAGTGGAGGAATTTGATCTTCTTCCACCTGGGTAGCTGACAGTAATTTAATTACCAAACTGAGTTTTATGGTCCTGTGTTTTAAGGCAGTGTTGTCATGGATAAGATTGGAACTAATTGTCCAAAATTAGCTAATAATTGTAGCACAAATTCTAATTGTTCTTAATAATAAAAACTCAGAGTCAGATATCAGGGTTAAAGCTGAAGATCAGAGAAGCAAAGTGGCCAGTCTCTAGAGAGTTCTCACCTCTACCAATGCTCAGAGCAAAGGGGCGACCCTGTCCTCAGACTGCATCCTCAGACTGAGTGCGCCTCAGACTTCAGTGCTCCTCAGACTGCAGTGATGCCTCAGACTGAGTGCGCCTCAGACTGCAGTGCGCCTCAGACTGCACTGCTCCTCAGACTGCACTGCTCCTCAGACTGCACTGGTCCTCAGACTGCACTGCTCCTCAGCATCCTCAGACTTCAGTGCTCCTCAGACTGAGTGTGCCTCAGACTGCACTGTTCCTCAGACTGCACTGCTCCTCAGACTGCACTGGTCCTCAGACTGACTGCTGCTCAGACTGAGTGCGCCTCAGACTGCACTGTTCCTCAGACTGCACTGCTCCTCAGCATCCTCAGACTGCACTGGTCCTCAGACTGCACTGGTCCTCAGACTGCACTGGTCCTCAGACTGCACTGCTTCTCAGACTGCACTGCTCCTCAGACTGCACTGCTGCTCAGGCTGCACTGCTCCTCAGACTGCACTGCTCCTCAGACTGCACTGGTCCTCAGACTGCACTGGTCCTCAGACTGCACTGGTCCTGAGACTGCACTGCTCCTCAGACTGCACTGGTCCTCAGACTGCACTGCTCCTCAGACTGCACTGGTCCTCAGACTGCACTGCTCCTCAGACTGCACTGGTCCTCAGACTGCACTGCTCCTCAGACTGCACTGGTCCTCAGACTGCACTGCTCCTCAGACTGCACTGGTCCTCAGACTGCACTGCTCCTCAGACTGCACTGGTCCTCAGACTGCACTGGTCCTGAGACTGCACTGCTCCTCAGACTGCACTGGTCCTCAGACTGCACTGCTCCTCAGGCTGCACTGCTCCTCAGACTGCCCTGAGCTCCTGTCTCTCCCGCCTTTTATTCCTCTCTCCCCCAGCCTTGTTACTCCTGTCTCCGCCTCCCTCGTGCTGGGATTCAAAGCATGGGATCACCATTGTGTGAGCTCTGTTTCTCTTTTAGACAGATTCAATTTCACGCAGCCCAGGGTGGCCTTGAATTAACAAAGACCCATGTGTCTCTGGCTCCCCAGTGCTGGGATTGAAGGTGTGTGCCACCACTGCCAGGCCTCTATGGCTAAAAGTATGGCAAACTTTGCACTTTGATATCCAGACAAGATTTGTCAGATCATAAAATATCACCACAAATAATGAATGAAAATGGAAAAAAGCAAGAAAACCAACAACTCACATTCTTACAAGCAGTCAGCACCAGGCACTGAGAGGTGGTTGTGAACAATGGAACCTCTGTAGATCATGCAATTACACAGTAGGTGTTAAAAGTACTGTTTAACTTTCTAGCAATAATTCATAGAACCAACCATGAGCGAGGCACGTGGAGAGGGGACCTCTAGGCTGTGTTCAGTATGTCAAAAGATAAAGCAGGAAATGGTTGTTCTATGACACCATTCCCAGGGAGATGTAAGCACGTGTTTGTTCATCCCAGATAGGAACTGACAACACACCAAAGTAAGACCACCCAAGTTCAACTGGTGAGCCAACGAGTTTTCAAGAAATTTAAAGGAATATGGGTGAGGGATTACTTACAGGAGCGGAAATAACTCAGACAGTTTCGTCACCAAAAGTCCACACAAGTCTCACGGTGATGGCTCACAAAAGCTGGAAACCATCCTGCAGGCTGCTCAGCAGGTTGGAGAGCGTCTTGTCCAGATAGCTCAGCTGGTGTCTGCCTCTTCCAGGAAGCTTGGCAGGCCTGAGAGTCTCAGCAGTCCTTACAGTTCATACAGGCTTGGGGATAGAGTAGATTGTTGCATCTGCTCTGTTTCAGTGACTTCCTGAAACTCTTTAATTGTATATTTCACAAGCGTAAAGAGCTTCCAGGAAGGATGGACTACTTCACTTCCATTTAGACTATTCTGTATCCTAAGAAGCTTTCCTACAAGATGGAATGCTTTACCTAAGAGGAAGTTGCTAGCCAATTGTCCATTTCTCTCAATAGACTGAAAGTAATAATTAAAATTTCATGCGTATTTACTTTGAGTTGGCATTTATAGAAACTCATTAAGGAAATGCTGATAACCCCAGGCTGATCAGAAGATTTCATGATATAGTATAGTTACTAATTTTAATTCATTATTGCTATATTTATTTGTCTTACATGTGAATGAGTGTATATGTGTGTGGGAGGGTGCCTTGTCGCAGCACATGTGTGGAGATCAGAGGACACTGTGGGAGTCAGTTCGCTCCTACTTTTCTGTGGGCTTGAGAGACCAAACTCAGGGAGGCAGAGTTGTGTTAAGCACTTTTGTCACCAATCCATCTCACTGGCCCCGTTGTTGTGTCTTAACTTTTACTGTTAATACAGGGTCATGGTAAGCAATAATTATACCCTAATTTCTCTATGTACATAACTAGACTAATTGCCCAAGATGGGAGTGATTTGCCCACAGTTACATCTTCTCTTCAGGCAGAAATGGTGAGCCTCTGGGGACCTTCCTCATCCCCTGGGTGCATTAACTGAGGCGGATTCAATCACAGTACCCAGTCACAACTTTCTACTCACTTAGAACACCGAAGGACTCATTTCTGCCCTTTTTGCTTCTATGAACTAAGTCACTTGTGAGCTTAAGTTCTGGACATTAGAGG